TGATAGATGACTAAATTATAATAAATGTTTTGTGTAGAGATGATTATATCCCTGTCAAAAATGTGCAAAATTACTTATTGACTTCCCAGTACTTCAGTGATTTCCAACACAGAATATATACTGATGTTAGGTGCTGACAAGTTGGCTCCAACTCATGGTGACCCTTACGCATAACAGAATGACACACTGTATGGCCCTGCTTTATCCTCATAACTGTTACTACATCTGAGCCCATTGCTGCTGCCACTGTATTAATTCATCTCATTGGAGGTCTTCCTCTTTTTGCTGGTCCTCTACTTTACCAAACATGAGGTCCTTCTCCAGGGACTGGCCCATCCTGATAACTTATCTAAAATATGAGAGATCAAGTCTCACCATCCTCCTTCCAAGGAGCAGTCTACTTTTTCCAAAACAGTTATGTTTGTTCTTCTGACATTTGTGATACTTTCAATATTCTTCTCCAATACCATAACTCAAATGTATCAATGTATAGAAAACTATATATTTGATTATTCAAAATACAACAGAATAAAATATCTAAAGGATGAGGTAATATAACTTTCCCAGTATTATCATTGATGCATTACTAGTGCTTATTGATAGCTGAAATTAGCAATTAAAAAAAATCACAACCTTGTGCATCTGTCTTTAAACAGATAATTTTAATTTCTTCATCATTTGGCAAAATGTAAATTATGTTTAAACACATGGCCACTACTTGAAAAACAAAATCAATAGAACTTTTCTTCCAAGGCCGGATTTCTATTTTAAGTAGAACAAGAAAATGCCTCCATCAATCTGATTCTAAGTGGGAACAGACAGATGAGTAGTTCAATTTCTGTCTTTATTTATAGCTGATTGGACCTTATTCCTCTTCCCTTCTTTCTATGAATATTAAATGTCAACAGATACTGTTTGCAATGATAAGAAGGTGGCCACATATAGATTTTAGCTAAAGAGGCATTTTACTTGGAGTTGAAGCTTTTATTCAGAGGATAGGATAATAAGCTGTTGAAATCAGCCCCTCCCTCAAGGAGCTCTTAAACTTATGAGGGTAATGCACACAGATAACTACAGATCAGCATCTTTGATGGATGCCTGAAGACTAGAGAAACATGGAGATACATTTTTTTTTACTGCCAGAAGGATGAGGGTGGTCTCAGAGAAAGATGGACACTTTAGCTAGTCTTATTGTTCAACTTATTCTTCCATAAAGCAGAGGGGTATGAAATGAGGCCTAGTCAAAAAGGGTGGTGCATACGAACTTAAGGATGAAATAGGTCAATTTGGGATCAGGGTCATTTAAGTAGAGCACTGGGTACCATTTGGGAACTGAAAAAGAACAATCGGGACTCGAATTTTAAAAAGTCTTAAAGGTCACACCAAGGAGTCTGGAGAGCTCTTGAGCATGTTTACTTCTGTTTTTAGCAAATATATATATATATATATATGATAATTATAATTGCATAAAAAAGATGGATTTGATTGTAAGTTCAGGATAAATTCATGTGGCAGGGTGAGAGGTGGAGGCAAGGAAAATTGTTAGAACTGTACTACAGTTGTAAAGACATGAAGTAATAAAGGTCTCGATTTTGTGGATAACAAAGAAGAAATGATTGTCAGAAAGGGAAGAATCAATAGCACCTGGTGATTGATTAGATATAGGGGGTAAGGATGCTAATGAATAAGGTGTAAAAAATACTAGAAAGATTTGTTTCTGAGAAGATAGAAGTTCAAGTCTTGGACCTAGGTTTCTCCTCTTTTCTATCAATATACTTTCTCTGGTCTTTCTCATCCACACTAAAGGATATGTGCTCTACCTCTGTGCTGTTGATTCTTAAATTACCTCTGTTATTTCCCTCTCTCTGAAGCTACAGAGTTGTGAGGTTTAAATTTTTTTCTCATTCTATTTTTGAACAGCTATTAATTAAAATAAATGTAGGTCTCCCTCCTATCCTGACCCCCATTTCGCCAATTTTCCTCCTGATAGGCAATCAATCAGTTTCTTGTGAGTACTAGACATCATCACCTTAAACATGATATGAACAAGACAAATTCTTTATCTCCCTAAATATGTTCTTCCTTCTCTAATGACATCACCATCTAATGATCATAATTTATTGAATTGTCATTAGTTACCACCCCTGGTAGGCTACTGTTGGATAAGCTTGGACTGCTAACCACAAGGTCAGCTGTTTAAACCCACCAGCTTCTCCTTGGAAACTCTACGCAGGGTTGCCATGAGTCAGAACCAACTCGATGACACTTAACGACAGCAACAACAAGCAGCCCTGGTTGCACAGTGGGATAAGCATTGGACTACTAACCAAAACATCAGTAGCTCAAACCCACCAGTCACTCCTCAGGAAAAAGATAAGACAGTGTGCTTCCCTAAAGCTGTACACCTTCATAAGCCCCATCGAGCTGTTCTCTTCTTCCCTATAGGGTCATTCTGAGTTGGAATCAACTTGACAGTAGTGGATTTTTTTGGAGTTATCAGTCAATATCCCAGGCAGTTGACATTTATTATCACTAAACCTCACAAAACAAAACAAAACTCACAGTTTTCAAATCCATTCTTACTCATGGCAACCCTGTGGGGCAGAGTAGAATTGCTCCACAGGTGTGTTTTTTTTAGTTTGTTTGGTTTTGTTTTTTAAGTTTTTATTGTGAATTATGTGATCATTTACATGGGAGAATATTAGCTTTACTTTCATCATATCATATTT